TCTCTCTCTCTCTCTCTCTCTCTCTCTGTGTGTGTGTGCGAGCGCGCGCGTGCCGCAAGCCTTGGCCTGTTGGTGGCGGGGTCACTGTAAGTTCCCTCAGGTCAAAGGTTCGATCTCACCGTGGCGTGGGGGCTCTGGAAATTTAGGCACATGATGCACTCTCATTATGGGGCCAAAAAGCACATGAGAAATCGATATTTGGGCCTCTGCCATATATCAATTTTCTTTATATATATATATATATATGATAATTACCTAAAACTTGATGGACTTGATTATCAAAAATAAGATCATATTGTTATCACCAGACATGCTTCACTGAGTTAACCTGTTCTACTAATGTGCAAAATGAATTTTGTTTTGTATGGAAGCTCACCTGGGATTGGAACAACATCATTTCCTTGATGAAGTAGCCAAGCCAAAGCTAACTGTGTAGTTGTGCATTGGTGTTTTGCAGCTAATTTCTCTAACCTGAAGAATAGTATTTTATTTTTCACTAGATTTTCTTCACTGAATCTTGGATGTGAGACCTGAAGTAGAAACATCTCATAAATTTATGTGAGATATAGGATCCGTTTGGGGCAGCTTCTGCGTTTTAGGATAAGCTGCTTATCCTGAAACGCGGCCCACGGGTCGACCCCCGCGGCCTACGTTTAGTTTAAAAACCCAAATGCAGTTTCGGATAAACAGGCAAAACACGCGAACTAAACGGTACGGCGGCGTTGATGGTGGCGTTGTGAAAACGCCGCCCGCACTTATAAGTTGCCCCAAACGGACCCATAATTTATACTTCATAGATTTATGTAAAGATGTAAAATAATTAATCAAACCAAAATAATACCAGTGCACTATTTTTAGGTATGCTTTCAAGAACTGCTTTACCACCAAAAAAGCCACGACCAATAGGACTATATGGAACTATTCCAATCCCAAGCTCTCTACAAATGTGAAAGAAAATGTGTTTTTAAATAAAAATGCACATCAAATAATCACCAAGGATGGAATGCCAATGTAAAATGATATGGCGAATAAAATGCACAAAGAAAACAATTCAACTTCTTTTATGCTTCCTTGATACTACTTTGTGGTCTTTAGCTCAAAAAAGATATAAATACTTCCAATGATCGCATATTTGGGAGTATTCATTTTTAAAAGTGACTTGACATGCCTCAACGAATCATAATAATCTGGATGATAGAAAATTACATCTCCGTTATATAGGTTATTGAAAGATAAGAACGCTTTTTATGCTTCTTGCTTCATCCTTCCCTCCTCTAATAATTCTAATCCAATCTTCAAGTGCTTAGTTCAATGATTACTACTAAATACTAGCTTAATTAACTTGTGAACTAAAACTTTTCCTTCCTACTATTAATAAAGATGTTTATTAAACCAAACGTGCAATACATCTTCCTAGAGTTTTACGAGTCTTTCAATAGAATATAAAGTTAAAACTTATTCAACTCTTACTTCCTAAAATTGTTAGTTCATTATGAGAAAAATAATATTGAATATAAATTATTAATTATCCATAAAAGTATGAAACACTTTATTTGCAAAACCTGCAAAGTGGTATTATCTCATCCTCGATATCTCTAGTCCAAAGCGACCATTCTATTTGTAATGCACTAATTGGGTGAATAGCATGAGCTCGCCTGATTGTATTAGCGCTTGCTTCTGATAGCCCAACATACTTTACCTTACCCTCCTCAACTAACTTCTTTAATTCCCCAACCTACCACAAGCAAGAAGCAAACAATAAGCTCAATTCATGACCACTATAAAAATAAGAGAGTTACAACATTAATAAAAACTTCTTGATTTATTAGTCTTACTGTTTCTTCAATAGACACAGTTTGATCAACCTTGTGTTGATAATACAAATCAATGTAATCCAACCCAAGTCGCTTAAGACTTCCTTCCAAGCAAGCCCTCACATACTCTGGCTTACCATTTACAATAGGACCACCTCCCACCTCCTTCAATAAGCCCTACAACTCCAAACTTTGTGGCCAATTGAACCTTCTCTCGTGGAAGTTGCTTCAATGCCTGCAAGCATTCATTTTCATAAAAAGGAATGGTAAGATTGCCTTATAAACTTACAAATTTTCTTTTATTCACATCTTTCATGCATCTTTATTAAAAAAGAGATTAGTTAAGAAAGACATAAGAAGAGAAGGGGAATTTATAAAAACCTTGCCAACCAAAATTTCATTAGTGTGAGGTCCATATATATCGGAAGTGTCAAAAAAGGTGATGCCTTTGTTAAAAGCTTCCTTAATGATTGATATGCCATCTTCTTCAGAAACAGGAGAATTAAACCTTCCAGAGAGACCCATGCACCCAAAACCTAGTTTGGATACCTAAATAAGGTGAAAAAGAACAATCAACAAAGAAGTTATAATAACATGAATGACATAACTATACAAAACCTAGGCTAGGATGATCCTCTTTTTCTCAAATAATTAAATTTTCTTCAAAATATTAAAAAAAAAGTGCAAAATGGACAAATTACCATATGCAAAAAGTTGAACTAACAAATAGAGTTCATGACAAAAATCTTGTTCACCTTGGATTATGATGTCTGTAGATGCAACAAATATGATGCAATCTAAATTATGAGTAATTTTTAATGATCATATGTTTTGGCAGTGGAGGGATGAGCCAATAAGTTTATATGGGCTATTATTATTATTATTATTATTATTATTATTATTATTATTATTATTATTATTATTATTGTTGTTGTTGTTTTTGTTGTTGTTGTTGTTGTTATTATTGTTGTTGTTGTTGTTGTTGTTATATAAGCTTCGTGTTATGTTATGCGAGCTATCACACTCTACTTGTATCCCTTTTTTTATTTTTGATATAGCAAATTCTACTTCCTATGATTTCTCTCGTCTAACTGCAATTTACAAAGAGATATTAAGACATCAAGAATTATTTCAAAATAAAAATAAAAAATGAAGAACATCAAAGGGTAAGCTTTCTACCTCTAATCCTTGAAATCCCAACTTTACTCTGGGCATCAGGATTTGGCTTTGCTCTTCCATTTCTTCTGTACCATAAGCCTCAGCAAACAAATGAGTCGAGTATGTTGGAGGAATTCAGGTAGCCGGTCGGGGCTTCCATTTAAAGGGTGCTGATCTGATTACCATCAGGTGAGGTTACTCTCCACGTCAGTAATCATCGGTGAGGTTAGTCTCCACTGCAGTGATCTCACTAGTTTATTAGATAGGTGATGTCAACCTATGCGGGCGGCAGGTAGATCAATAAATTTTTTTAATTTAAAATTTTTATCTTTTTGGCATATTTTTCCTTTTAAAATAAAACCAGGAGGGAGAATGATGAAGACATCTTCCTCATTGGCAATCTGCTCCTTGACCAATACAGTTTGAAAGAATAATGAATACACAAAACAGCCGGCTTGTCCTTCCTTAGTTCGCGTAAACGCTGGAGAGTTTAAAATGGATTAATGTACTATGCGACTTTAATTTAGATTAATAGAAAGTTGATATATATATATAATATATATATACACACACACACACACCACCTGTGTCGCGTACTCAGATCAGTTGATCGAGCATCTGCTTATCAGTTGTAAGTCTCCTCTAGTCTGGGGTTTGATTCCCCCTGAGTGTACGGTGTTGTACTCGAATTCTTAGGCGTATGAGGGATGATCAAAGCTCGTATAATAGCCTCCGATCATTCCTTTTCAAAAATTTATTTATATACATATACATACATACATATATATATATATATATGTATATATATATATCTTTTGTGGCACAAACTTGAAATTATGGGAACTACTATTATTGATAATTGGTTTTGTGATGGTGATTTTAGCATGATAATGAAGCCTACTTAAAAAAAAAGGAGGGGGAAGGTGGACATTGCTCTTATAAATAGAATTTGTAATTCTATCTCTCAAGCTGGTCTTTTTTATTTGGGTTATGCTGGAGTCCCTTTCACATGGAAAAGGGGATTGCTTTCTCAAATGCTAGATCGATTTTTGGGGAAAGGCTCTTTATTAAGTCACTTTCCCATTGTGCAAGTTCAGCATTTAAATTCTGCTTCCTTTGATCATAAACCCATTTTGTTAACTTTGGCTTTCAGTGACAAACATATTATTTCTCATTTTAAATTCTTTAACATTTGGACTACCCATGAGTCTTTTTTGAGTTTGGTGCAGCAGGCTTGGAAGATAGAGATGGCTGGCTCTCCTTGGTACATTTTATGGCAACTTCATAAAAGAGTTGCTGATTATATGAGAAAGTGAAACCTCCAAGATTTTGGAAATGTCCATCACAAAGTTTCTTAGGCATAAAGTGTTGTGGATCAATTGGAAACACAAGATATTTGTACCTCTGGTTGGGTTGACTCCATGGCTAAAACTCAGTTGGATCTCCTTACTGTTATTAATTTGGAAGAGGAACTTTTACAGCAAAAGGCTAATGATATATCCTTTATAGCTGGGGATCGTAATACTAACTATTTTCATTCTATTCTTAAGCACAGAAGGAACATCAATAACATCCTGAAAATTTAAAAATATGAATGGGGACATAATTACTAATATGGATGATATTGGTGAAAGTGCAGTACAACACTTCACTACTCTCTATCAATCTACTGTGCACACCTCTCCTATTGACTTTACTCTCTTTCTGGAGGATAGAGATTTTATTAATTCCTTAACTTTATCACATATACCTGATGAGATTGAAATATACTCTGCTTTCAATTCATTAATTCAAATAAAGCTCATTGCCCTGATGGTTTCTCCTCCTCTTTCTATTTGCACTTTTGGAGTATTATTAAGAAAGAGGTCATTTTAGCTATCCAAAGCTTCTTTTGTGGTGAAAATCCAAGAAATTAGTTTAGTTCTGCTACCATTGTGCTCATTCCTAAATATAATGACAAGCTTACCTGGGATAACTTTCGTCCTATTTCTCTTACCTCCGTTATCTCTAAGGTCATAAGCAAAATTCTTGTCACCAGACTACAACGTCATCTCCCTCATCTTATATCCCCACAACAATCTGCTTTCATCAAAGGAAGGGAGATCACCGATAATATTTTGCTGGCCCAGGAAATCATTGAAGATCTTGATAAAAAGAATGTAGAGGGAATATGGTTATCAAACTTGACATAAAAAAAAGCTTTTGATACTATTAGCTGGGACTTTATTCTTAATGTCTTTATTCTTAATGTTTTGATTGTTTAATGTTTTGATTGTTAAAGGCTTCAAGAATGACTTTTGTATGCTCATCAAAATGTGGCTGGAGACCATTCACTACAGTGTGCTTGTTAATGGCAAGACTTATGGTTTCTTTCCTACCTTCAGGGGTATTAAGCAGGGGAATCCTCTCTCCCCAACTATTTTCATTCTTGCATTTGATTATTTTTCTCGGCTTATAAATTGAGCACAAATCCAACACCCGCACATACAATACTCTCACAAATCTAAGATCTTAGTTAGCCACCTAACTTATGCTGATGATGTTATTATCTTCTCTAATGCAAGTAAAAATCACGTTAAGGGAATAATGAATATCTTAGAGGAATTTCAGAATTCTTCTGGCCTTCTTTTCAACAGATCTAAATGCTCTATATATCTTGGCAAATATGTTTCCAATCACATTGAAAATTGGGCCACTGATTACACTGGTTATAAAAGTACTAAGCTCCTTATTAAATATCTTGGGGTGAATATTCTTAGGGGCAGGAGAAAGCAAAATCAATTTGATGAGGTGGAAGATAAAATTAAATCAAGGATTACAGATTGGAGAAACTTTTTTTTATCTATTAGTGGCCGACTCACCTTGCTTAAAAGTGTATTTTGCAGTTTGCCTCTTTATGCTTTGTGGGTAATTAAGGCCAAAAAAAGCACATTGAAAAATCTTGAAATCCTTTTTAATAAATTTCTCTGGCTTGGGTCTGGCTCGGGCAAAATTTGGGCTAATTTGGCTAGAGTCTCTATGCCTCGATCCTCTAGAGGTCTTGGATTTAAAACATTGCAGCAAATTGTTGATATCAATATGTACAAGCTTTGGTTTAAATTTCGGGTGGGGTGGGGGGTGGGGGGGTCCTTTTAGGCTCAATTTCCTTATCATAAATATTGCCATACTGCTCACCCATCTACTATAACTTGGAAAACTGGTGATTCTAAACTTTGGAAGGCTATACTCCTTGCTAAAAATGTTGCTGCTCAGTTTATTTTTTGGGAAGTTGGAGATGGTAAAATCTCCTTTTGGCATGAACATTGGGGCACTTCTAATCTTACTACCCTTCCACATTTAGGTATTACTTCAAACCTGTTGGTTTTTGATGTTTGTGATGGTGGGAATTGGAATATTAATATGTTGAGGTCCTTGGTGGGAGATTTAGCTCCTTCTATTTCTACTACCCCTATACTTACAAGTGGAAGAGATAAACCTATGTGGAAATTCATTTCTACGGGATCTGTTACTAAAATGTTATATAGAAATACTCACTGCTATCACAAAATGGAAATGGAGCTCTTCCATATGACATCCTTTTATTTCTCCTTCTATCTCTTTTTTTCTCTGAAGATACTTACATTTCTTATTGCCTCTTGATGACATACTTAAGCTGAAGGGACTAAAGTTAGCTTCTATTTGCTACATCTGTAAGAGAGAAGCTGAATCTTCCCATCATCTATTTTTTGAATGTTATTTTGCTAGGCATTTTTGGAATACTATCGGTGAGCTACTTGGTGTTTGCTGGCTTAGTCCCTTTAGTTTGAATAAACTATTAGAGGCTTGGCAAGGTGTCACCTCTCTTCCATCTAAGATGAAGTACTTTCCTTTAAAGGTTCTTTGGTTCATTTGGCTTGCTAGAAATGATTATAAACATCACTCTTCTCCCCCCTCTCCTACTACTATTGTTCTTTCATCATGACTAATTTTTATAAAGCTACTAGAGCTATTAATAATGCTAATGCCACATCAATTTCAGATGGAAGGAAGAGACTTATTTTGGTCTGATGGTTACCACCTTTATTTGGGTGGCTTAAGGCCAACATAGATGCTAGTTGGTCTAATATAGTTGCTTGTGCTGGTGGTTTATTTAGAGATAGTAATGGGATTTGCCATGCTTTTTTTGCCTCATCTATTGTTGCCTCCACACCTCTTGAGGTTGAATGTTATGCTGTTCTTTTGGCTTTAAAGGTCAATGTTTCTTTTAATTTTAAATGTGTTATCATTAAGACTGATTCACAATGTCTTTATGATATCCTCATCAAGAAGTCTGAATTGGTCTGGAACATAACTTGTTTACTACAACACATACATAATGTGATCAATAACAATCAACTTCAAATTCTCTTTACTTTCATCTATCGTGAGGAAATACTCCTGATGATTGGCTTTATAAGCTGAACCTAAATAAAGCTCTGGTTGGCATTACCCCTCCTTTTCCTCTTAAAAGTCCTTAAAAGTTATATACTTTATATACTTAGTGATATGATGGACACTCCTTATTTAAGGAGCTGATGGAACCTTATGTTGAATTGTTTCTGCTTTGTTGGGCCTGTTCTTTCTCAAGCCTCACAGTTTGTGGTGGGGAGGCTGGTTTCTTCTATCTAGATTTTTGTTCTGTTACAGATTTTATCTTGTCTTCTTTTTTGGACTGGACTTCTTTTGCGGCTAATGTTATTAAATGACATACTTGATTGCCACCTCACTTGCTATACTGTTTTGCAAACCCTGACTCAATGGAGAGATTTTGCAAGTGTTATGAGAAGCATATCTGGATCAGGTTTATTTTCACACTATTTGCCTCAAACCTTCCACCGAAGATCAACATGGATGCTGCATATTGCCTCTTATGGGTCGGACTCTAGCTGCTTTGAACGAAGATATTTTGGCTTTACAACTCTCACAACTAATTTTACAATGTTTTTATACGTTCTTTTGGGTATTTTTTCTTGGATTGGTATACTTTCTGTCAGGATACTTGTCTTTATGAAGATGTTATACCTTTTTTTTTTCTTTCTCTGTTTCTTTGTGTGGAGTTGTACTGCGGAAGAAGGAACCCATAGGACACTATGTATTCCTTTTTGTTTTTAGTGGGGATCCTCTTTCCCTCCAATTTTTGTA